CCGTTGCTCATCGCCCTGCCCGGCTGCTGCTGGCCCCACCAGTGCTGGTACAGGCCAGGACGCTGGTGGCCTTCTTGGCCACCTGGGCACACTGCTGGCTCATGTTCAGCCGGCTGTCGACCAGCACCCCCAGGTCCTTCTCCCCGGGCAGCTCTCCAGCCACTCCTCCCCAAGCCTGGAGCGTTGCCGGGGGGTGTTGTGACCCAAGTGCAGGACCTGGCACTTGGCCTTGTTGAACCTCATGCAGTTGACCTTGACCCATCGACCCAGCCTGTCCAGATCCCTCTGCAGAGCCCTCCTGCCCTCCAGCAGATCAACACTCCCACCCAGCTTGGTGTCATCTGCAAACTGACTGAGGGAGCACTCGATCCCCTCATCCAGGTCATCGACAACGACATTGAACAAGACCGGCCCCAGAACCGAGCCCTGGGGAACACCGTGTGTGACCGGCCGCCAGCCGGATTTAACGCCGTTCACCACGACTCTCTGGGCTCGGGAGAGAACCAAAACACCTTCCAGCCCATTTCTCTATGTCTGCCCCCACCAGCTCCCCCGCAGAGTTGCTGCAATATTATCTCCCCGGTGCAGGCTCCAGCCGAAGCGAAGCCCCGGCAGATAAGCACAGGCTTGGCCGGCGCCCGGACACTCCGCAGACCGAACGTGCGAGATCCGGCCTCAAAACACACCCGCAATGCTGGGGCGCGTGCCGGAGGGCACCTACCAGGTACGAGCTCGTCCTTACTCCGGTTTTTCTGCTCTCCAGGTATTTCTCTCTCTCCTCCTTTAAAGCCTGCAGGCGAGCCTGGATTTCCTCCTGAGGAAAATTAAATGTTCTTGGAGGAACTGCGAAAAAGCCTTTTTCTGCGCTAAAATTACTTCTGCCCTCGTCTTAGATGGGAGAGGCTTTGCCCGAACGCTGGCCGCTCCGCACGAAGCGGAGGAGGAAGAGGAGGAGGAAGATGATCCACAAGCGACCTACGCTGCTCTGAAGCCCTAGGCAAAGAAATGCAACCTGCAAACACCAACCTTGCTGCAAGCGTGGGGAAAAATCCTACAGAAGAGCAAAACACCCGCGTCCCAGGAAGCGTGTAAGAGCAAGATAAGCGCAGAGCGAGATTTCCCCCAAAACCACTCCCAGCCTCCGGAACTCGGCGGCTCTGGGGTAAACGCATCTGTATTTAACAACCCTCCCTGGGTTTATTTAGCGTGCGTTTAGGCAAGTTGCTTTTCGAACCCACGAAAGCCTTCAGCGCCAACGGCTTGCACGTTGCGAACGCAACGGCGAACAGGGGCACGGATACGCAGTCAGGACCTCCGAGTCATTTTTACGTTATTTTGGATACTTATCTTCAGTGTTTCAGGACAGTCGAGTCGATAGCGGAGTTCGAAGAGGAAAAAGGCTAAGAAGGAATTTTTCTATTTCTCCCAGGCCGTTGGCAAAAGATCAATAAATTAAAAGGGGGAGGGGGGGGAATCCCAGTAGGAAAATTTTGAAAAACCGATGTCCACAATAAAAAATACAAAGAGGAAGCACGTGGGTAAGCGAGACCCGAAGACCCCCGCTTGCAGCGGAGCCGCGTGGAGAGCGGCCGCAGCCAAACGGCCGCGTTTTGCCCCTGGAAAGGGATTTTCCACGAAGGTTGGGGAGATGGGAGCCGGTCTCCGGGCTTTACCTTATATTCCTGGGCGGCTTCTTCAACGGGGACCACGGCGTGGAAGCGGTGAGCCCGGGACCTGTCGCACACCACGCAGATGAGCTGCTGGTCCTCCTTGCAGAAGAGCTTCAGAGCCTCCCGATGCTGCCCGCACAGATCCTCCCATCCTCCTCCTCCTCCTCCTCCTGCCCGCAGGCTCAGCTGCCTGGCGATTTCGGCAATATTCGCCAGCTCCCAGCTGGGACGGAAACCCTTCCGCGGAGCCGTCTGCCGGCAGCGCGGGCAGGAGAACGGTGCCTCCAGCCCGTCCCAGCAGCGGGCGATGCACGCCCGGCAGAAGTGGTGGCCGCAGGGGATGGAGACGGGGTCTCGGAAGTAACCCAGGCAGACGGGGCAGGAGGCTTCGCTCCGCAGGCTCTCCGCCGGGCTCTGCGCAGCCATGGCTCGTCCCGGCGTGCCCCTGGGATGGGGTCGAAGGAGCTGAGCTTCGCGGGAAGAAGGGGAGGACGTTCCTCCTGCCTCGGCGGGGGGACGTCGGCTTCCCTAAC